CTAATGGATTATTTATAATCAATAATTTTATAACAGCCTTTATTCATACATGTCAATACTTTATTTTTAGTAGAAACTCATCATAGATCAGTGGTCTCAAATTCTAATTGCCTACAAGCCAAATGCATGATCTGAAAGTAGCCGCTGGCCCGTAATTGAAAAAAAGTTTTCTTTTTTGTTAAAAACAAAATTTGTTTACTAATTTTTTAAAAAATTAATAAACATTTATCAAAATTGCATATAAAATGACACAAAGAAAAAAATTCAAATTTGGGCTTGAAATCTAAAGGCACAAATCTGCAAGAAATTTTTATTGGTCACAATTTGTAATTCAAACATACTGGCAATTAATATTAAAATTTTTAGATTGACATGCATTCAAATAATCATGATATATTGAAACAACCATTAAACAACTTACTTTTAATTTAACCAAGAAAGAAATATATGAAAACTTTCCAGAAGAGGCAAAACTTGAGGATAAAATAATGACAACTTATGATCTTTCTTTTATTTACTAAATTTTTCTCTGAAGCCTACACAGAAAATACACATTTGTATGTAAATAATTTGTATGTAACTAAACCTCTTTGTTTCTTACTACACCTTTGCGTTATAACAACTCATGACTTTTCCCATTTTGTAAACTTGGAGGAAAATTACTAGAAATTATCTTCATCTCCGATTTGTCAACCAATTTGGTTCTTTTAATAGACAATTTTCATCTATGGGAAAAACCTATTTACATATAAATGCATTCCCAAACAAAGCAATACTTCTTGCAAAATTAGGAAAAAGTTAAATTTCTATCTTGACATCTTTGAGTAAACTTTACAGCACTGTGAAAATTCAATTTAAAATTCCATTAAAAAATTTTCCAGAGCATTACTCATACTATAATAATGCTAATTAATTTACAGAAAATGTATCACGGGGTCGCATAAAACTGCTGTGGGTCAAAGTGTGATAATACGCGTGTGTTATTTTAATATTTTCTAAAAATTATGCAAACAATGTCAAACTCAAATATTTTACATATGAACTTTCAAAAAGAATTTAAGAAAATTCATATTGTTGCATGCAAAATATAGTAAGATTCTTTTAGATATTCTAATTTTTGCATTCTTGGGTTAATTTCATTATGTAAATTTCTTATATGTTTATATGGAGCAAATCTTGAATAGGGAAAGAAAGCATTAATTTATTTAAAGTACTTTCATGTATGATTTTAATAGAATTGTGTGAATAAACTTAGTAAAGCACTACATATTCATGCAAAACAAAATTTAAATATGAATATTAATTGATTAAATACTGCTTGAATCTTTATAAAAACTCTACAAATGTCTACAGTAGATTAAGACATTCAAATTAAAGGAAATTTAGTAAGAAACATTATGCTGAATGTTATTAGGGGTGCAGGAATGGAATTTGCATAATTTCATTAATTTCTGCCCAATTATTTCTTTTGCAAAGGTAAAAAAATTAAAAATTCATGAGATTGAGACTGGAGAATATGAAAGGGGAAAAAAAAAGTCCCTCATAATGAATTGCCAACTATGAAGATTAAATGAGAGAATGCATTAAATGTCTGAATATATGATTATTGGTTATAAATAAAAGGGGTTTACTAAAGCATCATCAAAATGGAAAGGCAACTGCATAGCATCTTAACTGTACATATACTATAAAATGCACTCTGTTATGAAAAATAATAAAAACAGCAGCAATTAAATGGTTCTTCTTATTATCTATTTAAAATTACAGCTAGGATATTTATGTAGGACACTTGGAAACATAGTCTACAATGGGATGAAAAATCACCGGATCCATGAAAATTGTTAATTGTTTGATGAAGAATAACATATACTTATTTCTAAGCAAAACCTCAATCTATATATTACAGATTAAAACAAACATTTCAGCATAATAAAAGTCAATCTTAGTTTGGTAATAACTTTAAACAGGCTTTTATGAATCCTGAGGGAGAAAAGTCCGAGTAAGGCTTTATTTTCTTCATGGAACAATATTGTGTACATTTAAAATTAGTGAAATGTAATTGTCAGTAAATTACAAAATACTGTTTCTTGAAGTAAAAACTCATATAAGAAGGTATGCTAAAATTAATCTGATCTGAGTACAGACATGAAAAATGCAGTCTCTTTCATATATAATTCAGAATATTACATGCACAATTACTGGCCTCCATCTACTGTCATCTGCATGCTATAAGAAGAAAAAAAAAATCATGATAAAAAATACACAAATTAACTTGTAACAAAGTGCACTGGGAAGTGGGGGGGGGGCTGAAAAGTTTCAGATTTTAAATTACGTTCCAAAGGGGATTTTTTCCCCCCTTTGTTTTTACATTTTGTGTGCTATCTTTATTTATTAAATATCACGTTCTTCGCACTGAATCCATAAAATTCAGTTTAACAGCAATATCACAAAATAATTTTTAAATGAACATATCTTTAGAATTTCCGATACACAATTTCACGCACCGGAGATAAAAGATATAAATATGAAAGCAGGGACAGCAACAGTGACAAAGTTCATTGATACTATGTCTTGCGAAATATTTTGGAGTATAACTATTGGATAAAATTATTTTAATGCCAAAATTAATGACTGCATAGTATTTAAACTGATTCAAAAACTGGAAGAAAGATGCAACGACTCACAGAAATTTTCTGTACCACTTCACTACACTGTCCAAGAAAATTCAACAAAGCTCAAAATTTTAAAATGCTATTTATGAATTTTATTCTTAGCTTTGCTTATATTTCAGACTTTTAAAATTCTGACTTCATATACTTATTAACTTTAAGGTTATCTATAATTATGCAAATTTGGATAACATCATTGAGTCTAAATTTGTGTGGTTCCCTTATTAGTTATAACATCTAATAACGGGTATCCATGACAAGGTTTCTTCAAAATAGAATTCAAAAGAAGTTGAATAACTATTGCTAAACTTCTTTGGCTATCCAAAAAATGAAATAGCTAAATATATCAGTAAGTTCTTCAATGCTATGATTTCACTTCATTTATGAACTGACAAGGCCAGTTCAAAACATTCATATCCTAATACACGACTTTAAGACTTAGGACTACATAATTTTAGACCAAATCTGAACTAAATGAAACAAGCAAAAAGCTTTTGTGATTAGACTCATTAAATACCAGTAGGAAACTTTGCTGCCACATGAGATTATTTAGCTGCAAAGATTCTAAAGCTGTACTAATACATGTTTTATGAAACCACTGGAAACAGGAATCAAAGCTGTCATATCTGAAATGTATTTTTTTTAATTAGTAGCATTTCAGTAACTTAAACTACATCACAATCAAATGAAAAAGTGTCTGCCCCAATCTATGCAAAATGAAAATTATATTATTTATCTAAGGACTGCATATAACCCCCAAAACTATGTTATTATTTAGAGTTTAAAAAGTATTTGGCAGCACTAATTTCTACAGGGTGATTCCAAATTCATGGTACCAATTTGGAGGGGAGGTACAGAACAAAGATACGAGTATTCACATAGGAAACCTAGGTTGCAATCCATTATTTAGTCATAAATATAGGGTTGTCTCACTTCAACTGAAACAAGATGTTTACAAGCACTGTTCAAAATTCCGTCCCCAACAGCGATGCATGCTTGACAGCATTATTGGAGTGGCTGGTGTACACTGGCAAGTATGCCACATTTTTCACACACATATGCAACAGCTACTGATATTCAAGCAACAAGATCTTTAGATGAGCCAGCTGGAGTCACATACAGAAAACACTACGGATGTCCCAGAATATGTAAATGAGGCTCGATAAATCCGAAGATCGGTATGGTCAAGAGACTAGCACAGCCAATCCATCGCTCCCCCAAACACCGCAACTGCAAACATCAGTGTTGAGGCCAGCTGGCATCCCATCATGCTGGGACCACATTCAGTTATGAATGGAGATCGGAACATCTTGCAGCAGTTCTGGTAGCACTTGTTTCAGATGAGTTGCTGGCAATAGGTATGGGCCAAGCCACTGCTAAAAGTTCAGGCACAGAGGATTGTCTTGCAGATCCAGAGCTTGTACTTACTAAAAATGCAATGGGTGTAAGTGATTTTTGTTTAACATTCTCTAAACCGTATGTTGACTCACACCTACATTTTGTGCAACAGCTCTTGTACTTCACTCATAGCTGTGAGCCACACTGTTCAAGATGCTTTCTTCAAATATTAGATTGCATACAGCTCATCCTTGACCAGTGTCCTGTTTGGTGATGTGGAAAGAACCTGTTTCACAAAGCTGATGATGCAACCGTTGATACATTATGTGATCCAGTATTCGCCTATCCCGAAACTGCGCATGATAGATTTTGAAGCACAGTTCTGGTGTTACCGTTTGCACAGTCAAACATGTAATGCATGTCTGCTTTTTTGGCATATGCATAGTCTTCCCTGACTGACAACAGCACAATTGCAAATGGCATCTACCCCTACTGAGATACACACTTACTGCCCTCTACCGGCAATAGTGTGTGTGTATATATATATATATATATTCAAATTACTAGTATGCAAATGTGTTTCATGATGTAGTTTGAAGCAAGATCTTTTTAAATGAGTGATAAAAGATTCTGTGGGTGCTATTCTTTGTATAAAGCAATTCATACAAGATGTCATATGATCTAAATCTCATTTTTAAAGTTTTGTTATTGTAAATGCATTTTTAAGTTGCATTTATGACTAAATAATTAGATTACGACCTGGATTTCCTAAGTGAACATTATTCTTATCTTTGTTCTGTACCTCCCTTCCAAGTTTGTACTATTAATTTGAAATCCCCCTGTACATAAACTCTTGACTTCCTGAATGGTTATCTCTTAAACTCTCACACTTATTGCTTTCATTTATGTAGTAAGCTATAATGCTCATAATCAACATTGGCACATACTCTTTTCTTTCACTAATTGGTTGAAACACAAAGAAATTATACTCACTCCAGATTTTTATTAGATTCCATAAGAAATGCGATTTCTTTATTATTTAATCGAGCCTGCAAAATAAAGTTTTGAATCATGACATTGTTTAAAAGAAATATCATCAATGCATTTTAAGAAACACTGGGAAAAAAGGGGAAGCAATAACAACAAACCTATAAAGTAACCTAATAATCTCCCTATAAAAATTTACTGCTTATATACAGTGACAGAATATCCAGAGGAATTGTTTTAACTGAATTTAACAGATAATAGAAAAATTAGATTTTCAATATTAAAAATGCATGCAAAACGTACGAGTTTAATTTTCAATCATAAACCATGCCCCACTTTGTTGGGGCTGTGTTATACAGTAACCCATAAAATAAAATATTTAATGATTTATATTTAAAATGGCAGCTATGCAATGCATTAATGAATAACTGGATCTAAGACTGGTTAATACTTATTCAGAATCACACTGATGCTTAATAAGAATTTACTACAACCTTGGCCAGTACAAAAATTTAGAAAAAAAAAAAAAAAAAAAATTAATCAAATGTAACGATTAATGTTATTTGAATGTGTAAAACTCTTTAACCATGTAATTTCATCAATGCACACATTAAAAAAAAAAAGCTTTTCAACTATACTTACTTTGATTAGTTCAAATTTCAGTCGCTTGCACTCCTCTTGACAGGCAATATATTTTGCTTCAATTTCAGAATATTCATCATTTTGTAAAATGCCATTTTGTGTCTTCTGAATGTCGGACACAGCAGATTTTTTAAAATCAGTTTGAGGATCATTGCCCTATGAAAAATATTATATATTTTATTTAATAATTTTAAAAATGAAGAAAAAGTATCAAAGAATTATAATATTTCAAAGGTTAATGTTGTAAACCTTATACATATATCTTTTATTTACTTAATATTATGCTGTGTAAACAAATCAGAACAGTTATAAAGCTCACTCCATATTTTTGATTGAAAGCTTAGTTTATTAAAATCTTCTGATATAAGTTAAATGTTTTGCACTTTCTTTACCAGAAAATATTTATACTATCAGCCTGGAAAATCAAAAAAGTGTAGAAAGAAGAAACATACCTATCTTCCCTGTTTCTACTATATTTTTAAATTAAATATTTTAAAATTAATCTTCTCTATTTATAGAAACTAATACAGATAAATTATGACTAACTTTATGAAAAATTAGCTAGGCAACAAAAATTTTAAATTTTTATAGAAATCTAAAAACTTAAATATATATTTACCACTTCAGAAAGGAAACAAATAATTACATTAATTAATATGATACACCTAGTTAAAACAACCCTAGCCTTCCTGGCCTTTAATGACATCTGAAATTTTCAATTGAATGATTAAATTTGCCAATTTTCAAGACTCAACATGATGGCCACTTTAACAAAGAAATACCATTAAAATTTGAAGTTGAAAAAAATGAAAATTTACACAATGACAATAATCTTTATCTAAAAAGGTGTATGGTGTATTTAATTATGGCAAAGCACACGAGGAATATCTGCCTAAGGGGAGGGATGCCTTGGAAGAGGACTTTCTAAGGGAAACTAGCTCATATACACGTTACACATGGGTAAAACCACAAAAACACCCATGCAGCCAACCCGTTCACAGGATTCGAACCTCGGACCGAACAAACAGTGTTCAGCGACTTTACCACTCAGCCGCTGGTGGGCCGACTCTCTTTTTAAAAATAAATAAATAAATAAATAACACAAAATTAAGAAGAGTTGCTGGAACTAGAAGGGGGAAAATTATTTCCCCCCAAAAAGATATCATTTGTTATTTTTCAATAAAGGTAAAGTACTTTCAAGAAATGTATAGTAAGAATAATTAGTAATTTGTCAAATAAAAGCATACAGCAAAAATGACTGCACAAAATATTTTAACACAGCTGTAATGCATATGTTGCAAATAGGCACAAAAGATTACATGCTTTAATTAAAAAACACTTGTTAAACCTAATTTTTAATTACTGGTTTTGACAGTAAACAGCTTACCAAAGATTAATAATTAGGGAAACTACCAATGACATTAAAGAATGAACTACATTAATTCAATATTATTTTGCATATTTTAAAAGTTTCTTATGAAATTATCCTATGTATATTTACAATTATCTGAACGATTCGGCATAAATAGCTATAGTAAAGTCTCAGAGACAAACCATATCCTATAACTAGCTATATTTTTCATTGAAACTCCTAAAAATGGTATGTGTTTCTTTATCTTGCACATGACACAGCACAAATTAACTACCGTAATTTCCGGAAGAAAGGCTGCATCAGCGTAAACGCCGCACTCGAGAAAAATGGCGGGAAAAAATTAAAATTACACAGAAAGGCCGCATCAGCGTAAACGCCGCGATAGATTAAATTGCGCGTGACATCGTCGTGGGCCGTATAGATGCAAAAACTCAACCTAAGTCCTGATATATGACATACCAGTTAAGAAAAATGCATGATATGAAACCATAACTCAAAAATAAATTAAAGGTAAGAAATGTACAGCTTCTGTGCCGTTTAGAGACATTTTCAAAAATTTTCCGCTCCCTTCTTACTTAAAAACTATCCAACAAGTACTTGTACCCAAACTGATGGGATCTGTATTTGGCAGAATGCCAAGAAAAATCCATTCATGCTGAAGGAGAAATACCTCAGAGTTCGTTATTGCGAGGCAGGTGGAGTCGTGTCCACCTTTGAAAAAAATTGCAGAAAAGGCAGGGGTGGGAAGAGAATGAGTCCTGGAAGATTCATCGAATGGCAGAGGAGAGAGATTATTCAAACTGATGAGAATGTTGACTTGAAAGGGGGAAGAATGTTATTGTTCTGAGATCTCGTTTAGGGTGAATAAGGCATGTAGGTCCGTTCAAGGGAAGGAATGTAAACAAAATAATGTTTGCAAAAAGCAACTGAGTGGTCTTTTGTGTGGGAAAGCACTAGTCTATGCACAATGACAAGGCCATCCAAACTATGTACAATGACCATCATAGGAAATATTTTATTTTTAGTGCACCTAAACGCTGCATCCGCTGAAAATTTAAGTTTTAAACACGTAAACGCCGCGGCGTTTCTTCCGGAAATTACGGTACTTCCTTTAACATATATTTAATAGTATTTTACATATAAAACAACAGTATTCAAGGATTCAGCAGTATATATATTTTTTTACATCAGAAATCATCAAATCAGATTCAATATTTCTCATAGTATACTAAATATAGAATATAAACTTTTCAATCTTATAGTACATATCTATTAAACATGTTTTGTAGAGACAAGAGAGTAAAAAATCAGCAATGCTTTCGCCGGGAATCGAACCACAGACCTCTCAAATATGAGTCGAACGTGCTAACCACTACACTATGAAAGTGGGAGAAATACCTTATAGCATCACAAAAATAGATTTCAATATATTAATATCAGTTTCAATTAAATACTCACGAGTTTGGTTCCTTTTGTATTCCACAACATGCATCCTGATTAATATATTTTGTTTTATATTATAGGAAAAAAAAAACTCTTTATAAATTATACGCACAAGGCCAAAAAATCCTGTTTTATACCTCAAAACATAAATATATAATTTTTTAAGAAAAATGTGTAATTATTTCAGCTAATGAGCTTGCAGTTAATTACAGAATAATTCTGTTACAAGAAAAAAGTTTAACAATTAGATATTTTAGTAGCTTTGATTGTCAACATTTATGTTCGTTTAAATACATTAAAATTTACCTTCTGAAGATTTAACCCAGATTTAGGTCCACTTTTTTGGCACGACATATCGCTTTCTTCAACACTGTTTTCAATTGGTTCCAATATATATATATCATCAGACATCTCTAACTGCAATGCAATTGCTTTTCCCGATTTCTTAGCTGTACCATTCAATATTTCAGAGCCATTAGCATGTTTTTCATTATGTCCAGATTTATTAATTGCATTTCTCTTCTGATTTATTTGTTCAGTCTGAATGGGAGACAATGAAAAATTTGACACTATGCTTTTAGTAACAGCAGTAGATGGTAATGTTTTAAAATCAGCTGCAGCTGGTGGCTGTACATACATTTGAGAACTGGATAATGTTGTTGAAGTACTAACAGAAAATGAAGGTGTTAATTTCAATACTGGAGGAAAACTATATAATGCATTTGGCACAACTGATGCTTTATTTGGGGAGGTTAATGTATTCATGACACTTTTCGCAATGGTTTCAGATTGTGCAGTAACTTTCGAATTAGGCAGTGCAGAGGAAATATTTACTGGAATTGGTGCTGCTATATTCAACACAGGAGGTAATCCAAACAAAGCAGTGCGAATATCAGACACTGTAGATGACGACGCCATTGTAGTTGTAGTAGTAGTGGCAGATTTCAGTGACAGTGATGGAGAATTAGACACTGTCGTATGAATAACAGGAGTGGAAGGTGTTATGTTCAGTACTGGAGGATAACCATATAATGTAGTGGCTGGAGCAGAAACTGTAGCTGGTGAACTTAAAATACTTTTAACATCTTTTCCAACATTGGGAGATTTCGCAGAAACTTGAGAGGACTTGGATATTGGTGCAGGAATTCTCACTGAATTCAGAGGTGCTAAATTTAGAACTGGCGGATAGCCATACAAAGCACCAGCTGCATTAGGAATGGTTGGTAATGCAGTTAAAGTGGGGTGTAAATTTGTCAGGTATGTTCCAGATGCATTCCTCACAGGAATTAAACTATTATTAATTCTCATAAATGTCATACCAGGGGGTATATTACCAAGTACTATCTGAGCATTAGAATCATTAGAAGTACTAGGTGCAGAAACTTGTGAATTTACTACATTTGCCTCCTTAGTCTTATTACCTCCAAGCAAGTCTTGCTTTCTTGTGTCTTCAGAAAGCTTTACTTTCTTTTTCCTCGGAAATGCCGTCTTTTTTCCAGCTGACTGCATTTTTTCAGTAACAACTGATGATATTTTTTTTCCAGAACAGCCAGGTTTGGGATCTGAAGATAACTTAGAAGCAGATGCTTCAATTCCATGTATATTTTCAGCTACAACTGATGATGCTTTTTTCTCTGTAGATTTACAAACTGAGCCTACAGATGATATTTTCAATGCACATGAATGTGTCTCTTTTGTGTTATTTACATCAAATACACCTGATTGAGTGTGCAAGACAGGATTTGAAATTATTCCAGTATTACTTAAAGGCAAAACATTTTGTGGCACAGGACAAAGTAAAACATTTTGACCAGAAGAAACTGCATTTGCATTTAGTATATTTTGTTTCATAGGTAAAGTGTTTAAAAGAAACAAAGGTCTTCCATGCCCAACATTCAAATTAGTAGTACTTGAAGAATCTTTAGATGCAACAGCTAAATCAACTTTAGATGATGTGATTTCTGCAGAGACTGTTTCATCACCTTCAGCACTGCTGGATGATTGTATATTATTCTTTTCTGGTTCTGTCGGATTTGAAGTTTTATCTGAATTTTCAGATGAATTTTTATCAATTACTTTATCTTTCTCAGTGATTTTACTTTTTTTACTCACTTTGCCACATGCAACAGATGCTAAACTGTAAAGAGATGAAGACAATAAATCTCTTTTTTCAGAAGTCCTTTTCTTAGTAATAGATTTAGCTTTAGAATTAAAAATTTTACTATGATTTGATATTTGATCAAGGCTGGGTACTTGTTGAGTCACTGTGAATGAATTTGTAGCTCTATTATTAAATACAAGCGTTTCTGTCAAAACATGATTTCCTGCTGTTTCTGTAACCATATTAGTATCATCACATGAAGCATCAAATGTTTCAGAAAATGGTTCATTGTCAGCATTTTTATCAGATCTTACAGAACCTGAAATGAAAAGTCACAGTTCTCAGAGAGGAGTGAATACACATACAATTAAAAATTTACAGGAAAAATAAAATAGAAAGAGAAAATTTAGGTAGCAAAAGACATTCTCTTCAAAAAGTTCTGAGGCACTACTTGAAACAATGTATTTAACTTGTATAACCAATTTTCAGAGCATTATGACAAAACATACGACCTTTATTTTGAATTTACTCGAATTTAACAAAGCAATTCATAATATTTTAACAGACTGAGCAATTTAGATGCAATGAATCCATTCCTTAATAGTTTAAATCCTTAATTCTTTTATAATATATCTAATTATATATTATATCTATAAAATACATACAACTTTTGTAATATATCTAATAAAATGTTTATAATCCATGTATCATGCCATAGTTAGTGCAGATTTTTTTTGGGGGGGGGAGGAATGACAGAGATCATGGGCTTAAAAAATTTAAAGCTTTTGTCATGATGCAAAACATAATAAAATGATTTAATATGGATTATTTTAATGACTAAACTATTTTTTAAATCTTTTTTTAATAAAAGGTTTTTTTGGCGAGCCTGAAATATAATTAATTACAACATTAGGAAATAATTCAGCTTTCTATAGCCATGATTTCTGAGTTAATTTAGATGGAGGATCAACATTTGCAGATATATTAAATCATTTGGTCATTAAATTTTAATTATTTTTTCTACAATTCTAGACATTACTAACCCTTTTTGTTTATTTTCAATTATCATAATAATAAAATAATAGCACATATTTGTGAAATTCACACAAGAATTATTTTAGCACAGTATATGCCTTCTTAGTAGCCACATAGCTGGTTGAAACATTGGATTACACGGAATACAGTAAAGATCAGTTTATAAGATGGGGGGATAGCATGTTATATATATTTAAAAAATACATTATTCTAAGTATTATACATACATATATATATATATATATATACTTAGAATATCAATGTATTTTTTAAATATATATATATAACTTAGAATATCAATGTTACTTTTAAACTAAGGAAGCGTATTGTTTCATCTTTGGAACATACTTTTTTAAAAGCAGAATAATGCCATTTCCATTAGAACATTATATTAACTTCAGTGGACTCTTTTGCTGCTTAATATATAGATATTGCAAACTCCAGTACTGCCATCATTTCGGTTATGGCTAAATTTTGTCTTCTTCTATAAAAAAATATATATATATATATTTTTTCTTTTGAAATGAACACAGCTTTTGCATGTAACACAAGTGCTTTTATTTTAAAAATTTGGCTGCTTATTGGAATATTTCTCTATCAGCTGAAACTATAACCATAAAGCATTGTGAACCACCTCATTCGCACATGTTTCTAAGTGTACATGTTGAAAGTGTTTTCTTTGATTTAACTTGTGTAAAAAAATTTACATTTTCTAATTTTTGGTGCTCTCCCTCCCTCCCAATAAATTTGCAAACCAACTGCCGACTTTGAAAAGTGACATTTTTGGGGATATCTTTACATCAGTTTCAATTAGTCAAAAGTCGTTAATTCGGACACCCATAATCCGGACCTCAAAGCTACAAACTTTCTGCGCATGCGTCGCATCGACGTAAGACTTTTACGGCTGCGAATATGCGTGTGCGCATGTGCGTAATACGTTTACGCTTGCGCGTTTAATGTATAACGGACAAGCTAAGCTAAAATTATCTAATTCAGTTAATATCGCAGATGCGTGTTCCTGAATCTTCTATTTTTTGCTTTAATTTTATAAAAGTAAGCTTGATTTTTCGATTATGTCAAATAGAATTTCCGATATGTATTTACTATTATGTAAAGGATCTACAAAGCGAAAGTATGTTTAGAAGTCTATTAAACAAAAAGTGGAATTGCTGTAAAAAATGGATAAAGGCATATCCTTCGTTTCTCAAACCATTCCAAAATCTGTTTATCAATTTCACGCTGCTCTGCGGCCCAGGGGGGGGGACGCCGAAACGCCGCGACGCGCAATGAATTGGAAGTTAATCTGTCAGCACTATTCTTATCTTCAGGGCAGATGTTTTTATTTTATTTCGCTTATAATTCCTTACTAAATGCAGTATTTCATCTCGATGTACTCCATCTTAGATATGATTTAAATCAAATTCCTCGTCATTATAATTCGCTTCTGATAAAGAAGAAAGTGATACAGAGGTTATTGAAAATGAAAAAATTTCAATTGATAAATTAGTCGGTATTCTCGACACAGCAATTATAGGACTTTAACGCGGAACTTTGTAACTGAAAAGAAATTAATGTCTGTTTATAGAATTAAAGAGAAGTATTATATCACATAAAAACGAAGCAACTTAAACAACTTACCATTGAAAGAAATGTTTAATAAAGTAAATAAATAATTAAGCTTTTTTTTTTTTTTGTAAAATTTTTGATACCCTTTAGATCATGTGCTTCCGCAACCTTTCTCACCTGCGACGCACAAAAAATCTTTCTGGAATTTCGTGGCACACCAAAGAGTTCCGAGTTATCAAGGAAGTGCCGAAAAAATTCAAATGCTGACACACTTACAATCACACACACAACAGTGAAATATATAAAAACATTTAAAATAAGACATTATTAAGGAAAAAAAATTGTCATTGTGTATTAAATACATGATAAAAAATTGCAAAATGTCAAATACATGTATTTGATTGCGGCACACCTATATCCTACTCATGGCACACCGGTTGCGGAGCACTGCTTTAGATCATAATTGCTCTTTATTTCATAAATTACGGTTTCATATTTTTAATTTTATAATTTCTGCATGCCATCTTACCAGATTTAAACTGATGATCCCTAATCCGGAAAAATTGATAATCCGGAATTGCCGAAGTCCGGACGAGTCCAGATTAACGACTTTTGTCATAGAAGACATGCACACTTCTCGTTTTTCATGTTTCATTGTTAATCTTCTCACGTTCACAGTGGTCTGTTTTCGCTACAGAGAACTGCATAACCTCAGAATCAAAATTCTCAAATGAGAAGGAGAAAAAGAAGTGCATGATGCCTTTTTAAGTAAGCCACATTATGCTCTATGTATACAGAAAAGATAAGCCTTGGACTTTATCGAAGATGACAAAAACTATAATATGCAATCACTGCAATGCTAAAATGCCATTAAAAGGGATCATAATCTGCCGTCACTGTCATAAATGTCTAGAGTGGAGAAGTAGAAAGTGATTTGAGAAATGCTATGCCAATACTTGAGTTGCCACATCAATATCTTTTGGCAATATCATGGGTTGTCACATAAATACTTTTGGCAACATGTTTATTCCCTCATCAATACTTTTTCACGCCAATGGGGGCTGTCTGAAAAGTTTCCGACCTAACAAAGAAAAAAATATTTTTTCTCCAAAATTACCTTTATTTTTCGACACAATTTCCTTGTATGTCTATACATTTCTTCCAGTGATATTCCCTTCATTTTAACCTGCTCAAATAATATGCGAAATCTTTCTCTGCAAACTAGTTATTAACAAAGGTCATAACCTCCTCATTTGACGAAATCTTTGTCCTCCAAGTGCTTCTTTTAGCTTTGGGAACAAAAAAAAAAAAAAGGCTTCTTGGTGTCAGGTCTGGCAAATACAGCAAGTGGTCAAGCAGTTCAAACTGTAATTCATGGATTTTTGCCATTGTAACTGCTGAGGTGCAAGACGGAGCACTGTCTTCGTGAAACAAAAATTTTTTTTTTTCCCTTTTCTAAATGTGGCCATTTTTTCGCAATTTCTGCCTTTAGCTTGTCAGGTAACGCTGCATAGTATACTCCAGTAATGGTTTTTCCCTTTTCAAGGTACTCTATTAAGACAATCCCATGATTGTCCCAGAAAACTGTTGCCATCACTTTCCAGCAAAGGAACAGTTTCTGCCTTTTTTGGAGCCGACTCTTCTTTTGCAGTCCACTGTTTCAACTGTGTTTTTGTTTCTGGGCTGTACTGATGAATTTAGGTTTCATCTACAGTGATTAATAGTTGAAAAAATCCGATTTATTGCGAATGAATCGTGCCAACAGAATGATGCAAATGTGCATTTGGACACGTTTTTGGTCCAAAGTGAGCAAATGCAGCACTCAATGCACAGCCAGCTTGAGCATACCTAAATTTTGGTTCATTATGTGGCAAATACACTCTTTGGGCATACTCATAGCTTCTGCTATCTCTATTCTTGATTCGATGGGCGTCCAGCACCGTTTCGTGATTTTAGCAATGTTTCCATCAGTAGTTCCAGTTTTTGGCCATCCTGAATGTTCATCGTCACCCAAGCTGGTGTGGTCCCGTTTAAATTCAGTTACCCAAAATTTCACAGTATTAACTGATGGTGTAGAGTCCCCATACACTATGTCCAACTCCTCTTTAATCTGAGTAGTATTGTGCTGTCATTAGATACCTTTAAAAAACAAGTATCTAATGACAGCACAATACTTATTTTTTTTTCATTTTTGCAAAAATGGTCACATCAACTCATAAAAGTAACTGTCAAACAAAATATTTGCAATCAGAATACCTGAAATTTTGATTTGTTGTTATTAAACGATGTCCGAACAAGCCCTCGTCCACACTTTGGTTGATCTGAGCTGCCATCTACATATCAAGGTTGGAAACGTTTCAGACATTCCTTGTATCTGGTGTGGATAATTAAAAAGTATGGAAAAATTTTTTTTTTAAAAAAAGCTTTTTTTTTTTTTAGTCATTTACTATACACATTCACATACAGTCATTCACTCTCCTACATGGATTTTGAGAAAAAAAAAAAAAAAAAAAAAAAGCTTTTTGGCGATTTGCCTTTGTTTTAATGCTCTAAAATATTAAATTGTTTTATCTTTAATACACTGTGATTTCGTTTTTCATTCATTTTGCCAACAAAAGTCTATTCTGTGTACTAAACTACAGTAACTGAATAGAAATAAACACATACAATAAAACAATGATAAAGTTTGCACAACAATATGTTCACTGCTCAACAGACTAGAACACTTAACAAAAAGATTAAGAACAGAGACAATCATGTTGTGAAAAGTGCTGCATCAGTTACTTTGGCTAAGAAGTTGGCTAAACTGATGGCCATTTGAAATAAAGCCAGTTAACAAGGTGTCTATTATACACACTGATGCCTCTACTGTCAATATATAGCCTATAATTAATTGTATGCTTTGCATTTTTAGGTATGAATAATATGGGTCGCCGCCATGTTATTCATAACATAACTGCTGCAACACTTACGCCTGACATTTTGAGAGCATAAAAGTTAAAAAGCAGTGCATTTTTTAAAATTTTATTTTGAACGCAGTGTAATCAGATAAAGTAAAGTATTTTATTGTTCCCTCTGGAAAATCCTCATCATGTTTCAACCATGTCTTCTGTTTGCTTCAATGTGTTCCAGCCTTCAACATATTCTATATTTTCTTAGTCTCTGCAATTTGTCAGATTTGATAGCAAAATTGAAGCTATTTGCCTTCTTCAAAATTATAGAACAGTCCCAAATAGTCTGAAATGTTCTAACTCTCATGCAATGAAATTATACCTCTCTAAAGAAAAATGTGGTTTGGAAATGCAAAACTGAACAGTGCAAATAGATGGTTAAACACAAGAGTAAGAAATATGGTTGAAGCAAGCCACATCACATTTACAATAATACTATAATAGCCAAATTTTGAAATATGAAAAACTAGGAGGTTCTCGTGCCAAAAGCCAGGGGCCTCTGAGAGGTTTTTTTGCACTACACACATCATTTCAAAAAAAGTTCAAATTAACTTAAATTTACTTTATAATGCATAATTCAGGTTATTCAACTATTCATATATGAATCTGACATAAGATACATTCATATTAATTAGATATTCTAAATTTAATGTTTCTTGGATAATTTATTTTTATAATTTTCTTGCACTTTTATACTGAGAAAATCCTCAGTATGGAAGGAAAGCTTTGATTCATCAGAGTACTTTCAACCACCATGAAAATAAAATTAGTAACTGATGTGCACACTGGTGTGTGGATAAATTTAGAATGTGCCACATATCGATGCAAAACAGAATTAAATACAAATTTAACTCATAAAGTGTATGGTAAATCTTCATATACAGTTCTACAAATCTATATGGTAGATTAAGGACATGCAGGGCAAATAAAATATAATAATGAAAATTACAAGGGTTTAGAACAAAATCTCCACAATTTAAGTTTCATTTAATTTAATATGTTTAATTTATTGCTGAAAAACACTTTCCTTAGTAAAAATTAAAAACCAAGAGTTTGGTGATCAACCCGAAGACCAGGAAATGTGACAAAAAAACCGTAAGAGTTGAATGCTAAGCAAAAATTTGCACAATTTAATTACTATTGGTGAAAGCAGTTAACATACTCAAATTCAGACAAAACCAGACTTGGCAAAACTTACTTGAGAAGTATGCATTATCAGACTTAAAGAAGAATATTTTTTCTTAAAGTTATTGATTTCAATTAACATGCAAATATTTTTTATTTTACATAAAATTATAAAACTAATTACATATCAAATTGTATATATTAATTCTCTCCACAAATTAAAACTTAATTCTATAAACTTCTCACACACTTCTTACTTTTAATGGCCTGCAACTTAATGCATCAAATCGTACTTACACTCAACAACTAACATATGTACAAATTTATATATTTTTAACATATTTATTTACATTTTACACGATTTAGAAATGTTTAATTCATGGAAAGAATATGTAGGGTAATAACGTACAATGTGAAAGTTACATATTTATTCTCAATATACTTAGCTAACTGCAAGGAACACTGAAGCCTCAACTCCTTTTTTCCAGAAGAAGGGAAGTTTGATTGAATGTCTCATCTTATTTTTAGGGTTATAAAAATCAGCCCAAAGCTTTACTGGCCATCACCTTCTCAAATGATAGAGAAAAAGCCTTCTTTCTTTAATAGGAAAGAAGTTGAAGATACATAAAGACCAGAGACTGGTCATTACATTATTTGCAAGGAAAGATGTTAGTAGTAAAATTATCAGCATTGAAAGCTACAACTCTATATAGTCAAAAGCTACAATTAACACTTTTGAAATATGTCATACGATGATATTAGTGTATCTATTCATACAATTTTAATCTTCTAATTCTGTCTTGGACAGTATAGTGGTTAGTGGAGGCTAACCACTATGCACTCAGAACCAGCTTAAACGGAGTAGCTACTCAAATAACGTATACAGAAAGATTCCTGAGTATATTTTGAGCAACTGCTACCTTTTCAGGCACATCCCCTAAGATACATACAGTAAGCTCATGTTCATGTAGTAATTCATATTGCTTAAAATGCACACTGGGAATAATAATTTGTGCAAGCAAATGCCTTTATCTATTGCTCAACATCTAATGCTCTGTACCGCGTCAATGAGCCATTTTCCCATACACATTCCATTACAATATCTGCATATTCCTGGCAATCAATACCAGCCTTCCCATTTTTAATAGATAATTTTTTAACCCCCTGTATATCTTCAAAATTAAAATAAGAGACCTGCAATTACATAAAGCAGTTTCTTTAAAAGAAAGTTGATATACAGACAAAAGTCGTTAATCCGGACTCGTTGGGACTTCGGCGATTCCGGATTATAGATCATCAGTTTAAATCTGGTAAGATGGCATGCAGAAATTATAAAATTAAAAATATGAAACCATAATTTATGAAATAAAGAGCAATTATGATCTAAAGGGTATCAAAATTTACAAAAAGAAAAAGCTAAATATTTATTTGTTTACTTTATTAAACATTTCTTTCAATGTAAGTTGTTTAATTTGCTTCATTTCATGTGATAATACTTTCTCTTTAATTCTATAAACAGACATAATTTCTTGTTTAGTTACAAAGTTCCGCTGTTCAAGTCCTATAATTGCTGTGTCGAGAATACCGACTAATTTGTCAATCGAAATTTTTTCGTTATCAATAACCTCTGAGTCACTTTCTTCACTATCGGAAGCAAATTATAATGACGAGGAACTTGATTTAAATCATATCAAAGACCGAGTACAACGAGATGAAATACTACATTTAGTAAAGAATTATAAGCCAAATAAAATAAAAACATCTGCCCTGAAGACAAGGATAGTGCTGACAGATCAACTTCGAATTCATTGCGCGTCGTGTTGTTTCCCTTCCCATGCAGAGCAGCGTGAAATTGATAAACATATTTCGGAATGATTAGATAATCAAAGGATATCCCTTTATCCATTTTTTGCAGCAATTCCACTTTCTGTTTAATGGACTTCGAAACATACTTTCGCTTTGTAGATCCTTTACATATTAGTAAATATATATCGGAAATTATATTTGACATAATCAGAAGTTCAAGCTTACTTTTATAAAATTGCTCTAACAGTCTGCAAAAAATAATAAGACGGATCCAATTCGAAGATTAAAAAACAACGCAATCTGCAACATTAACTGAAATAGATAATTAGATAATCTTAGCCTATACCGACCGTTATACATTAAACCCGCATGCGTAAACGTATTATGCGCATGCGTACATGTATATTCGCAGCCGTAAAGGTCTTACGCGCACGCGTAAACGCCTATGCGCATGGGTCGCGTTCACGCATGTGCAGAAAGTTTTTAGCTTTGAGGTCCGGATTATAGATCATTCCGGATTATGGGTGTCCGAATTAACGACATTTGACTGTATTACCCTAAAATTTACCTTCTTTTGATTCCACTGCCAAACAAAAATCACAATTAACAGATAGTAAATATGTATTATTCTTTAAAAAACTGAAATTTTTGACAAATATCTTGAAAAAAATTACACTGAACCCCTCACAGCAACCACATCCAAAAACACTTCCTTTTTAAATTAGAAATAAGTAATAATCAGTATTGAAATCAACTCTCAAAGGTGAATATACTTTAACAAAGATTAAAATCATCCAGATTCATGTATGATTACTTTATATATTTAATGGAAGTTTCACTGCATGCAGACTAAAAATGACATTAAAAAGTACACTGTTAGTTTTTTTTAACTGATAGTACTCAGAGACCTCTGTAGCTTGAACTATCAGCCGCAAAATTTTGTACAAGGACTACTGACGACGTGGGAAAAAGAAATCCTTGAAAAAAAAATTCTAAAAGTTGCCAATAGGAGGAAATGTAGCACTTTACACTTTAAGACAGCTAAAACTTTGCATTCAGAAAAAAATTGCAAAAACCCAATTACGCAGTCGACACCAGCGTCAGTATTTTGAGTTATAAAAAAGAAGCGGGGTATTGAAAATCAAGAAAATGGAGGTCATATTGAAAACAGCCGATGTCTTCCCTAAGAAAGCGAATTCTACTGAATAAAAACAAAAGAACAAAGAATAAAAAGGAAATTGAAAAGAATGTTCTCTTTTTTAAAAAAAAAATTTGTAACCATTTACAGACATGACAATCAGTTATTTTATAGAATGAAGCACATTTGTGGAAAAATTAATTCTCTGTTATTCATTTATATGTTTACTGTAACATTTTAAAGTGGTCAGAAATTTTATCGTGCAGTTAAAATTTAGAACAAAAGTGCCATATTCCCTTCCCCTCACTGGCAACTTTTTTTCCCCCCCGGATTCCTTTTTCCCATGTCGTCAATAGTCCCCGTGCAAAATTTCGTGGCTTTGCGGCTGATAGTTCAAGCTACAGAGGTCTCTAAGTACCGTCAGTTTAAAAAAAAAAAAAAAAAAAAAAAAAAAAACTTGTACATTTTTAAATTTTACTTAATTATTTGAGATTCAATAATAAAACTGGTAGAGCATTTTTTAAAGTAAAAATAAGATTCTAATGAAGCACTTTTTAAACTAATAAATTCATAAAAATCCATAATTTTAAAAAAATTCACTAACTGATAGCATCAGTTAATTCATCATCTTTCTCAAATGGTGAGTCTGGTACTATATGTCCAGCATGGGTTGCCCAGTATTCCACTTGAACTTGAGGTTTTTTATCAGATTCGATAACTGATATCATAGCAGGGCATGATTCAATTTTCTTAACCACTGTATTTCTCATCTTTTCTTTTTTTAGACGTGTTTCTAAAAAATCGCATTGGTAATAATACAATCTATTACCAGATGATAAAATTTTAGGAACACTCTGCAAAGCAAAATTACAATCCTTAATCCTCTCCTCTTCAGACTTCCATATCAAAAAATCTACAAAAGAGAAGAAAACTGTAATTTTATGCATAAACTACGTAATATTAAAAATCCATGTAATATCAAAAATAGAATATGCATGTAATATTAAAAAACTGTTACAGTAAAATCCCAACTATCCAGTATTTAGACACACAGCCAAGTTCAGAACAGATGGAAAAGAAAATAGTGAGCCACTGGCTATTTGTATCTTAGATGAACCATTTAAAGCTACTTTTGACCCCTGCATTACTCAAGAATGATTAGATCTACAAACTTTCAATTTTGTATTTTTAATACAGCTCCCTTGAACACCTAGAATTCCAAATTTCATTAATCCACCTTTTATAGTTATGGAATTAAGGTCTGAAAAGTGCCATTTTTATCACTCACTCACTGACTGACTGTTAAAAAATCTAAGCTACTTCCAAATGACTTAGATAGTTCAAATTTGGCATCAAGGTAGATCATTAGGCATATAAGTCAAAAGTCGTTAATCCGGATTCATCGGGACTTCGGCGATTCCGGATTATAGATCATCAGTTTAAATCTGGTAAGATGGCATGCAGAAATTATAAAATTAAAAATATGAAACCGTAATTTATGAAATAAAAAACAATTATGATCTAAAGTTTATCAAAATTTACAAAAAAAAAAAAAAAAAAAAGCTTAATATTTATTTGTTTACTTTATTAAACATTTCTTGCAATGTAAGTTGTTTAAGTTGCTTCGTTTTTTATGTGATAACACTTTCTCTTTAATTTTATAAACAGACATAATTTCTTGTTCATTTACAAAGTTCCGCTGTTCAAGTCCTATAATTGGTGTGTCGAAAATACCGACTAATTTGTCAATCGAAATTTTTTCGTTTTCAATAACTTCTGTCACTTTCTTCGCTATCGGTAGCGAACTATAATGACAAGGAATTTGATTTAAATCATATCAAAGACGGAGTACATCGAGATGAAATACTACATTTAGTAAGGAATTATAAGCCAAATAAAATAAAAACATCTGCCCTGAAGGTAAGGATAGTGCTGACAGATCAACTTCCAATTCATTGCACACCGCAGCGTTAAAGATAAACAAAGTTTAGATAAACAAACTTATAAGTTTAGATAAACAAAGGATATGCCTTTATCCATTTTTTGCAGCAATTCCACTTTTTGTTTAATGGACTTCGAAACATACTTTCACTTTGTAGATCCTTTACATATTAGTAAATATATATCAGAAATTCTATTTGACATAATCGAAAGTTCAAGCTTACTTTTATAAAATTGCTCTAACAGTCTGCAAAAAATAATAAGCCGAATCCAATTCGAAGATTAAGGAACAACGCAATCTGCAACATTAACTGAATTAGATAATTTTAGCTTAGCTTATACCATCCGTTATACATTAAACGTGCATTCGTAAACGTATTTTGCACACACGCATATTCACAGCCATAAAGGTCTATTCGCAGCACACGCATATACGCAGCCGTCAACGAGTCGATGCGCAGAAAGTTTGTAGCTTTGAGGTCCGAATTATAGATCATTCCGGATTATGGGTGTCCGAATTAACGACTTTTCACTGTACAAAGAAAAAAATCTAAAACTTCAAAAAAGTACATTATTATCAAGGTTATACCACATCATAATAAGCATTTGACAATGTCACCACCAATAGCCAGTTTCTGTGCCACTCAGATGCTAATCAACTTTGAAAGTAAAAGAATAAAAACCTGTTTATAATAGATGAAATGATACGGCAGAGGTAGAGTGCAGGACCGGCTCTTTTTTTTCATTTTGGTTGTGGGTTTCAGCCTAACTACAGTGATATAAAGAGAATGTAAACAGTTTTCAAATGATAAAAGCACTTTCGTTAAGTAACTCAAATTTCGATAAGAAATAAATGCCAAATGCAAATAAAACAACAGAAAATAAAAGAAGGAAACGTAAATTTACACTTTGAAAAAAGATTTGAACATTTATATTATTTAATAATTAAAAATAGCTGTTTAAACCTTTTGCTTTTATTCTTACCTCCCTTTAAAAATCTAAAACTCAAAAAAAAAAAAAAAAAAAAAAAAAAAAAGGTGCGCGTAAAAGCAAGAAAAAAATTCAAGGTCATGTATTTGTTTAGATGCTTTATTATTTAAGTGTCTAAATACGAGGCGTATTCGGAAACTAAGTACCATTTTGAAAAAAAAAAAAAAAAAAAAAAAAATTTTTTTTCTAATCCAATTTTATTTTTACATGAAAATACATGTCTTGAACTACTTTTCAACATAGTTTCCGCCAATGATCAAACACTTGTCATAGCGGGTGACCAGTTTTTGTATACCATCGTCAAAAAAACTTCCCGTCAGTTTCGATAACCACGACTCCACAGCATTTTTCGTGTCATCGTCAGATCCAAAGCGCTTGCCACCAAGCTCGCGCTTCATGTGCAGGAACAAGTGATAGTAGGACGGCGCCAAGTCCGAGCTGTACGGCGGGTGATCAAACTGCTCCCAATTAAACTGTCAAATTAACGATTGAGTGACACCAGCAGTATGGGCCGAGCATTGTCATGGAGCAACACAATTCCTTTACTGAGCATTCCTCTTCCCTTGTTTTGAATGGCACGCCTTAGTTTTGTTAAAGTCTCACAATATCGTGCCAGTAAGAAAAACGCCTTTCCTATCCCAAAAGACAGTGCACATGATTTTTTGTGATGACACTGTCACTTTGAACTTTTGTTTTTTCGGAGAATGAGTGTGTCTCCACTCCATGGATTGTTGTTTCGATTCTGGTGTGAAATGACACACCCAAGTTTCATCACCTGTCACAATTTGGTTTAAAAAGTTTTCTCCCTCATCACTGTACTGTGTGAGAAATGTCAGGGCACTACCAAGTCACTTTGTTTTGTAAACATCAGTGAGCATTTTGGGAACCTATCGGGAACACAGTTTGCGATAATTCAAGCGGTCAGACACAATTTCGAACAAAACAGTACGTGAAATTTGTGGAAATGCATCTGAAAGAATTGTCATTGTGAAGCGTCTGTTCTCATGAATTGCTTCATCAACTTTCCTCACCAAATCATCGGTGACAACAGAAGGCCGACCACTCCGAGCGTCGGCATGGACATTTGTTCGACCTGCATTAAACATTCTTACCCACTTTTTCACCATTCCATCACTTATCGCATATTCACCGTAAACTTCTGTCACTTAACAATAAATTTCGGCCAGTTTAACATTCCTTGCGTTCAAAAATTTATTCACTGAACGAATATCACAGTCAGCCAGAGAACTAATTGTCTTAAACATTTTGAATGTGCACAACAAACTGAAAACACAACATAGAGCAACCAAAATGGCTACAATTGAAAGTCAGTGAACAAGAAAGACTAGTGGGCATGAGCGGGATGCCTACCACAGCGCTAGAATGAAACGGTACTTAGTTTCTTAATACGCTATGTAAGAACATAAACTTTAATGTAGATTTTCAGAAATTAATGATAACATAACAACATAAATGTGGAAAAGGGGCCAACTTCGGGAGTAACGACGTTCGATGTAGACTGTGTCACTGATAAAAGAGTCGAGATCTAGCGGATGGCAAGTTCTATAGCTGTCCTTTTAATCATAGCCGTAGGAATGTACAACATTCTTCATTTCATTTTAAAAACAATTTGTTACTTTTTGATATCGGATTTCTAACTAGGATTGGATTATTCAACTATGGCAAAGCACACGAGGGCTATCTGCCTAAAGGGAAGGATGCCTTCGTGGAGGACTTTCTAAGGGAAACTAGCTCGTATACACGTTACACATGGGGAAAACCACGAAAATGCCCATGCAGCCAGCCCGTTTGCGGGGATTTCTAACTAGGAAAGTTTCAATTGTCAATAAATTATGCTAAAAAAATTTTACATCTCCACCTAGAAATTAACTTGTCTTTGAATTTTATACTGAGTCAGTGAGTTAAATTATTTTAAGTTATTTTTGCAATTTAATTTACATAAGTTCACATAACTGTTTTTTATTAGTCGACATTGTTTCCATAAAGCTTAAAGAAATGTGAACCTTTGGTTTTATGTTTCAAATAAGAAAGCATAAATTTTAGATTTTGAATTTGTGTTAATAGATCTTTCAATATCTGAAATTGTCATGAGTTATGCTGAAATTAAGCTTATATAATTGTAAGAGAGAAGACTTACTATATTTCTGAAGGTTCTAAATGTTAGCTGGTATTTCGATATAACATTTCTAAGACGTCTTGAATGTTTTAAATATTACAATTTTTCCATAAGGAGTATAAAACATTAGTTGTGGAAGAATTATAAGAAATTTGAATGTGTTAAAGGGAAAGTCTAGGAATCCCCCGTATCTGATGTTTTTGTTGTTGCTGTATCAATGTTTAGTTATAAGCATGTACACATGCAATATTCTTTTTTAAATTTAATTTATCTTAATACTTTAATATACCTCGAAAATTTTAATGAAAGTATATTGTATTATCATAAATAAGTAAGTTTTAAAGCAATTGAATGTAAAACATTTAAAAGGTTAATATTATTTGTATTATTGTACATCTTCAAGTAGATCAACTATAACTGAAGGCATGATAGCACATTCTAGTGTAAACTGTCTCGAATTTGTGTTTTAGGTCAGTAGAGTATGATGCGGGGAAAAAAAAAATAAGGGGTTAAATTTTACTCCTCATAGTTAAAAATTTTTTTTAACAAATATATATTTAAAGAGAGAGATAGAGTCATTAGATTTTTATCACAAATTGCGATATCTCAAATCGTGGCATTCTTAGTAAAAGTTAGAAAGGATGATCTTAAAACTTTGGCTGAGGAGTTAAGGAAAAAAGTCAGACCTGAGCTTATGATGTTGAATCTAAGACAGTTGATTATGAGAAATGAAGCCTATGAGGAGGAACTTGTGATACATCTTTTGGAAAATATCACTTCAATGAGACTTGATAGGGAAAAAGGGGAATAATATAGAATCAAGAGAGAAAAGAGGCACGCTAGAA